AAATAAGGGATGCAAGTTCTACCATAATAAACGACATATTCTTCACACTGTGACAAGTTTATGAACTAATACTCACAAATTTTGATCCGAAAACCAAAGCTCCAATTCAACCAAAGTTCGAACTCAAATGCTTCAATTTTCCCATATGAATAAAATGGCGACCCTAAGCCAACAAAACTCCTTGTTTTGCGAGAGTCGCTAGGAAAAGTAAAGCAAAGAGCCATATTAGCGTAAGGTCACCCTTTTTGTTCATACGAGAAGTTGAAACATTTGAGTTTGAACTTTGATCGAATTGAAGCTTTGATCTTTAAACAATCTTTGGACTTGGGATCGTCCCTTCAATTTTCTCATATGAATAATTATAAAAAGAAATTGAATGGAACACCCTAATAATTCAATAATCAACCCTTCATTGGGATTGGAGAAGATCTGATGAAAAAATTCTGGTAATAGATACTACCTGTTGGCTGGAGACTCTAAGCACCAAATGTAAGTACACAAAATCCAGTTCAAATTTTCTGAAATTGGACCACAATTAGTTGGGGTGTACATGCAGTCACATTAATTATTTGTGTAGCAAGAAATTAGTGTTGTTGGTAGGACCACAATTGTAAGGGTGTGTCTGATCAAGATCTGACGGCAAAAGAAGCTTTTGCAAGCTGATCAGCTACCACTACTGCGGTTATGTTGGCTCCTGATTTTGGATCACTCTAAAAGCTTACAGCTACCAATGGTCCTAAATTGTGCTGCATATTTGAACTAGTTAGTATAATATTGGACATGGCTGCAAGCTGCCCTCATGAATTTCTTCACTCTCAACTCAACCACCGTCCATTTAATATTACGGTTTAATGGTATTCCTATTCATTTGTAAGTGAAAAGTTCTATGTTCAGTTCTCACCAAAGACGAATTTAAACCACATTATTGTTAACCCATTGTGAGGCTAAACACACCTCATACCTTTTAGTGTTGATAATATCGTTTGTTCAAAGAAAAAAAAAATCAACCACCAAACAATTATACATAAGGGAAGAGAGAGGAAGGCTAATAGGAATGAGGATGGACGTACTTATTTCCGTATTTAACGAATATTGGATGAAAATTTCAATTGTTGGTTAAATTTCTTAACAGTATTCAACACAAGAATTTTAATTTTAATTTTCTTTGAACAATAGTCATCTCCTTAATGACCTATCCGCTGTCACCTCAGTACTATTAATCCGATGTGACCTTTTATTTTGTCTTAGGAATCTTTTCAAAATAAAGAAAAGCAAAAAAAAAAAAAAAAAGTCGATTTTGAAAAGAAAAAAGAATTCAATTGTTGGTAAAAACTGAACCTGACGTGAATCGAACACGCAACCTTCTGATCTGGAGTCAGACGCGCTACCATTGCGCCACAGATCCGTTGATGTGATTGTCCCGGTTGAATAATACAAGGTGTGAGGAATGGATTTTTATGGTTTTTTGCTTTTATGGTTTTTAATAAAAATGGGCCTGCGTTCGAATTTTAGATATGGGCTGGAGTTATACATGAGGAGGGGCCTAGGCCTAAACTACCCAAACCTAAATTCCAGCTTTGCCCTTTCAAATGTTCATTTTCGTACAAGCAATATTTGAGAAGTTGTCCAAAATAAAAGCTCGAATACAAAAGTAAATACTCTTAATCACATAAACTACAAATCCATTATTTTGCATCAAGACGTTCAAATTTTCATTTGCAATTTCACAATTCTTAACTTTGAATTGAAACAATCAAATACCTGTAGTCAAATGCAAACGTAAATTCAACTAGCTAGCCAAGACAATGTTCCTACCCTTTTGTACCCGAGTTTGAGTCTTACTCCCGTAGAAAAGTTTAGAGGACAATATCGTATTGTTAAAATAAAATAGTGGTCTAACAGAAACTGTCATGAGTATTCAGTTAGCCTGTTCCTGTTAGGGCACATTAGCTTCATTGATCATGTCAGGGTACGCAAAGAAAAGCTTCATTTAGCTCTTTATCAGTAACATAAACAAAGGCTACACAAAATGCTCAGTTGGGTATTCATTCTCATATCCATTGTAATCATAATACAATCTCTCCCCCTTTGTTATATCTCGATTCGCAATCAGTAAAACCCTAGACTCGCCATTGACATCAAATCTTACACACTTCAAGTTCTGCTTCTTCCTCCCGTCCCTGCACCATACCACAGTAACTTCAGTTGTCACATAGTTATTTACACATGAGGGCAGAATATTAGTTTTGGAACGGGGATAGCTTACGGTGTATGATTATTGATTCCGTTGATGAAGCGCGCAATGTTACCATGCTTGTAGGGACAAATGACAAGGCTTTTTGAAGGTGTAGCTGCTGAAAGCAATGTCATTGTGCTGTCTCCATCGTCATTTTCGCGGTTCTTCAGATAATCCACATCTCCAACATATTCTGTGATTATTGTCAAATCCCTTATGTGTTTATCAGCCTCAACTGTGAATCTGTGAATGAATCATTAATACTGAATCAAGGAGTCCAGTTACATCAACTACAAGAGAGAATGTTTTGTTGGTTTGTAAACTCACCCTTCTTTAGGATCGAAAACAACCTCGAGGGGAGGACATTCTCCTCTCTCCATCATGCTTTTGCACAAATTCAACGTTTCAACATCTTCTTTCGACATAACCTGGAAGGCAACGATATCAGAAATGTACCTTTTGGATCACACTCAACTTAATAAGAAAATCAAATACAACATGCTAGAATTTCTCTTCAAGAATAATCAGGACACATCTATGAATTTAACATCATCCTTTTTTCGAGTGCCATACATTTGCAGACTCTTATTGACAAATTCTGCTAATGTACATTGTGTCCAGTTCAGGAACTTGTTCTAAAATTTTTATCGTTCCCATGTTCGGTATGGTAAGATGGAAACCACAGGGAAAATACTGGACATTGTCTACATGCTTTGGAAACTTTTAAGGAACATAACATTTAAAAAGAAACTTAGAAGCAGAATTTCGCCTCAAATAGAGCACACCTTACTAAGACTAGATTTGGCAGAAAAACGTAAAAGTGCTTATGGATGATAGAAACTCTTTCCAAAGAAGCACTTGCTAAATTTCAACCTGTTTCTAATAAAAACACTTCTATCAGAACAAGCTCACGAGCAGAAGTGCTTCCTACAGAAGCACTCACACTAGACAAGTCATCAAACTGAAAAATAATATGCATCAAATCAGCAGAATCCCAGAAACAAATACAGCTCAAATGCATCAAACAACTTGTCCTAATCAGTTAATTAAACATTTTATTTGTGTTGGAAAAACCACTGTTGAAAATTTACCTGCATTCCTCCTCGCTCAAGAGCTGCACAATTGGCCCACCTGGGCGCCATTCCAGGAATATAAGTGAGCTCATTGCTGAACTCAGTCCCCGTTGCCATCAACGCCGTCGCCAGCGACGCCATCTGCTCCATTCTCCTCGTACAATCCTTGGTCGGAATAAAGGGCAACAATTTCCTCTTCTTCTTCGAGACCACCAAGCCGCTCGCCCGCCTTCGCCTCTTTCGACAATCTACAAACAAAAGAACAAAACTTTCAGAGGAACCCAGAATTAAAACAAGAAAATAAATCCTAATAAACTGATTTTTCATAGAATTTACCTTGATTTATCTTCTGGGGCGATTCTGCAAACCTCTGAATCCGAAAAAAATCGCTGATTTTGGTTTGGTGGAGAGGGAAAGCTGTAAAATCAAGATAAAATGGAATCGAATCAATCAATCAATCACATCCGAGAAAATTCAACATTTAGCCTCCAAAAATCCCAAAATTCAATCTGGGTCAGAATAATTAACGAAAACTAGGGGGGAATTGGGAAATTACATTTGGGTTTTTCGTCGTTGGAGCAGCAAGGGCCGAACCACTTTCCTTTCGGGACTTGAGCAAGGATGGGTCTCAGGCAAAACATGTGGTACCCTCTGTTGCAGCTGCGACCGTCGCACAGGAGGAGCTTCGCCGGAGAGTCACCGGACCCACATTCCTCGCAGGACACGTCCTCGTCGGATTCGGAATCGGATGCGCTGACGTAGTCATCGTCCTCGACGATTTGAGCACGAGAAGGAGGCTTCGGGGCTTGTGTTCTTCTCCTCAACGCCACCATTCCCTTCGTTTTTTCCGGGTTCGGGCGAGCGAGGGCGTCGCGTTGTGTTATTTAACCAATGGGGAGATTTCCCGCCCTAATTTGGGTTCGCGGGAAATGAGGTTTGGCGCGCGAGCATGGGGTTCGTTTCTTAATTATTTGGCGCCACTGTTTCCTATCAGGGGTGGGCTTGGGCTGTAACATTTAAGCCTATAAAGTTGTGTGTTTTGGACCTTATTCCACCTTCTTTCGGGGACTTTTAATTTGTTTTTGAGCCTCGTTTGACTTTTAATTTGTGCTAATATCCTCCTGTTTGTCAATTCTGTCACAATTCTGTTAATTCAATCACGAGCAAAGGCACATACACCTAAAGAGCATTGATCACTTTAAACTAAACAACATCTAAAGAGCATTTTTTATGGCCTAGTGGTATTCCTCTTTATTTGGACGTAAGAGGTCTCAGGTTAAAATCTCGTGGATAGCAAATTCGATACCAAATTAGGTTGCCGATTGTGTGGCTTAGTTGAACTCCCCCTCCCTACATAAAAATATCGATGTACTCGAAAAAAAAGAAAAAAAAAAAAAAAAACAACAGAATGTGTCCGTTTGATGGCCTGCCCCTTCACTCTCATTCCACTCCGCCCGATGGGATTTACCTTCTTTACTTGTTCCACGTGAAAAGATTGTGCGTGCACAATATGTACCTTCGTTATGTATACGTATGTATTTGAGACATAAAATCAATGGTTTACAAAAGAAAATGTGAAAGTTATCCCACTAAAAAGGTGCTAACTATTTGTCCCTTTCGATCACTAGTGTACATACTATTGTTCTAAAAATCTCTGCCTAGGCGTTAGGCGGTTGATTACTACTCTGATTAATCCAACAGGCGTTTGAAAATTAAAAAATGACGCCTAGACCTGCTTATTACTTTATAATTTATATGTCATTCTATTTTGTATTAATTTATGTATCACAATACAGTTATGTATTTTTAGCATACACTTATTATATGATGCATAATAAATTTACTAAAATCCGTCTAGTCCGCCTAAGCTATGCCTAGGCGCTAGACCACAGCTTACCGCCCAATTAACGCCTACTATCTTTTAGAACTTTGTTACATACCCAACATAAGTTCATCTGGCGCCCATATTGCAGCATCATTCACCTGAGCTGTCTGAATCAGGAATGATTTTAAAGTAGAATCAGTTGCTGTTCTTGATCACGATACTTATTGCACCAAAGTTTAGCATGAAGGTGTCAACTACCCTGGTCTTGGTGAAAATATTGTAAGAATAAGACTTAAAATTATATATTCCTTGAACAATGGCTATGAGTTTTCTGATAGACCCAACCCCATCCTGCATGTAACCCATTACTGACTATATATAGACAACAGGAAAGCAAGTAACACAACTCCTACAAAGCCATAACGTACAGTACCTGCAACGTTGTTGATGCAGTTTGTATCAATAAACAAGTGATGGTCATTTGGCTACAAACAAAATGACTGAGAACTTCAGATCGAAAAATGAACCAAAAAACAAGTGATGATCAGACTATCCCCAAGTACAAACCTAGAAGAATAGTTTGTTGTTGTGGGTGGAACTCCATGCGAGCTCCTCACTTTAGATCCTTGACTAAGGGTACGGACAACAGCCTTTGGAGGATCATCTTGCGAATAGACATTGGAACCAGAAAGGGACACCTGAAAGACCATGGTGAGCATAGGTATTTTCGTCATTATTTGTACTAGAAGAAGGGTGAGTGAGATCTTACTGCTTATTACAAGTAACAAAACATGGTAATTGAGATTGCAAAAAAATTGTTTCTTGTCACACCTCATCAGCTTGGACAGTGCGAATACGCTTCATCAGGTGCTCTGGATCAGCTGATTGATAATCCATCCCTGTAACACCTGTACGGGTCCGTGGGTGCTTCCAGAAAGCAGCTGCACTAGAAGGCTGCATCCAGGAGGAGCTGCTGCAACAGTAGGGGTGGCGCAAAGAAGGATTAGTGCTTCACATTCACCCAGCAATGGCAGCAGGAGATGGGACGACAGCTGGTTGAAATGACTGCACAACGATAAATAGTCAACCATATCCAAAGTACTGTTAGAAATTGTTGCACTCTTTTATGCAGATGATTAGGTGCAACTTCCACCAGGGGCACCAATAGGAGAAAATGCGCCAGCCTTTGGAATTGGTCCTATAAGGGGACTATTTCATCCACCTACTCGCCTGAGTTCACTCATTTAACTCGGTCTCTGACTCCTTCAACTCGCTTGTCAACTCGGTTCCCGACTACGACGAGTCGAACGACTTATTTTATGAGTAAATTGAAGGTGATTGATGTCTACAATTTAAATGAGTAAATTGAAGGTGACAGCCATTGTGCACTAGGGTTTCATTGGCCCCGTACGTTGCCATTCATACTATTTTGATGTCTTCTTTTAATTTTTGTTTTGTATGTCTGTAAAATATTTATGCTGAACTGTTTCAAGTAATGTATGTTGTCATCCACATCAATTATCAAAACCCTAACAGAACATGCCCCCACTCTATTTTAGTGATTGATGATGATGCGCACCCATAGGTTATACCTTTCATTTTGTGGCCAAAACCCTTTCTGCCGAAAATGGAGAATATCCTCGTGTCTACAGTCGTTATCACGTGTGGTGACATTTTATCATTGGAGGATCGATATATCCTCTTGTGTCTATTTCACTTATCACATGTCATTCACATTCAAATATGTTTAATCATTCGGATCATATTCAATTTGTTGTTTTTAGCCTTCTCTTCCCGCCCTATAGTTTATGATTTTCACTTGCTGCAATATATTTATTGATGTCCCACAATTCATAGAAGTCAGCTTGATCAAGATATACAGCTAGTAATTTATGGGTTTGTTGGATGCTTAAGTGAAATTAGGGGACAAATTATCCTGAGTTAACGGCTTTAACACACGAAAATCTTTTTCAATTTTCAAGGAGGGAATGTTACAAGCTTAGCAAACTTATCAAATTTTTGTGATGTGTTATAAAATAATGTAATGTGAAACAAACACAGGCCATATAATTTGGGATGATGCTAGAGATACCATATACTTGAATCATATTTTATAGATCACATAATGTGGCGGCTGAAAGTTGAAATTCTTTAAATCACTAAAGAAAGAATTCAATCATCAACCGTCATATTATATGGTTAACAAAATATGGTCCGGAAACATTTCTCCCTAACATTTTCCAATAACTTGGTAAGGTTTGCTTTGTTAATTAATTATATTGTTTGGGTCCTCAAGTAATCCTTTAAATAAAGATTAATGTAACTTTTGGGTTGGGTAAACCAAGGCACCAAGAGTTGATATAATTGGTTAAGTGATTATTTAAAGGGAGTTTTAACGAAAAGTCCACGGTACTGCTCACTTTAACGAAAAATCACATTTTTACACTAAAAAGTCAATCCTGGTACTATTCACTTTACCCCTTATTTTATCATTTTCATTAAAACTCAAAGTTTTCAAGTCATTTTCATTAGTTTTCCTTTATTTAAATTAATTAACTCAAAAGTGGGAGGAATATTTTAGCCACCTAAACACTACTACGTTACATTTTTCTCTCATATTATAAAACACATATTTGTTTTTTAACTAATCTATCTCAAAAATAAAATGTATAAATTACGTCGCTCACACGTGAAATAATACATCAAATATTCTGAAAACAAATAAAAATTGTCCAAAAGTAGGCGTCAGGAAGCAATCCAAAAGTAGGTGTTAGGAAGGAAAACATGATATAGATGAAGATATATGGAAAAATCTTACAAGAACAAAAATACTAACTTTGATACTAACTTTGGTCAAGAATCCATTTGGCGTGGAGGAAGCTTTATTTGCTCTTCAAAGCTTAATGGATAGGAACGTGGTTGAATTTTTGAATGTTTATTTGGGCCCCACGCGTTTGTTTTTCTATTGTAAGTGGGTCCACCTAAGTTGGACCAACCTAGATAGAGAGAGAGAGAGAGGTTATTCTCGTAAAGATGGTGAGGTCCAAAAATGGAATGCTATTTCTGGTATTTAGATTCCAAATTTTCGCTTAATTAGGAATGCTTTCTCTTTGTTTGTTGCATGCGTATGCAACCCTTTGCCATTGTTGAAACTTGAAAGCTTTTAGTATTCTACTAGTGAAGTTATATACATTTTTACGTTTCGGTAATACTAGAGAGACAAATTATTTAAATTATATTTTGTAAATCATATAACGTGATTGTTGATAATTGAATTATTTTGGTTAATATGTTTATTTCATATTTGTGACACGTCACATGGTTTGCAAATTTGGTTTAAAAAGTTGGTCTACCTAACATTATTCTTTACGTTTTTTGTCAACCAAAATAAAGTTAAGCATGTGTTTTTCTAATCCAAAACCACATGGAGTCCAACCAGAAAAAGAACAATATAAAGTTCGAATTGGTGTTTTTGTTTCTTCAAAACAAGTTATAGTACGAGAGGCTGAAATCGAAAATAAGACTTCGAGCACAAAGCTTTTAATCACATAACTAGTCGGTTTAATGACTTCAGTCTTTATTTAGCTGGAGGAGATTCTAAGTTCGACTCACAATTATGCGAAAACAATATATAATCATAATAACTAGTGTGTTCAATACTAATTTGTAGCACAATTTAACAAATTGATGTAAAAATATCTTCATACATATCATATTATTTAAAAAACCACTTAAATTATTACAAGTAATATTCTATATTAATCTACATTAAAAGGAGATCTGCACTAAATTCCTAGTAGTTGATTTAAGTCTTCAAGCATGCTTCACTTCATTTCTCATGTAAATTTCTTATTAAGATGAGAAATGGAATGCAAATAGATTCCATTTTAGCTTTTTATCCGAACTAGTATGAAACATGAGTCATGCATCCGAAGTAGAATGAACATCATGAGTCATGCATAGGGGATAGGTAATAGGCCTTCATGGGAGTGTGGTGTGTAATTCCTATCAAATTTTCAAATCAAATAGTTGATGACAGACCAAAGGATATGAACGAACGACATGCCGTATGAAGCAATGGGCAGGCTTGAATCGATTGCAAGAAATGGTAACCCTATATAAACATTATTTATTCTTGTACGCACTTTAATAGAATCCGACAACAACTAAATTAATTATTTTCATGCATAAGAATACTAGATTACAATCAACCAACATTTATCAAACTTGAAAAAGAGTCAAAAGAAATGATACGATTCTCTTATTTTTATTTCTTGAACTGATAGATCTATAAATCGGAATTGTAATGCATATATTAATCAAACAAAAATAATGTAAGATTATAATTAAAAAAATATGTAGTTATTATTTCTCTTAAATTAGTAAAGCAGCATTTCGTGACTAATGAGAAGAATTAACAAGGCAAGAGAATAAAAGTAATTAATGCTATACTTACCATCTAATTATATCATAATCTGCACTATCTTTCTAAAAATTATAATTCACAAACTAAACATATATTATGAAGAAATGATAGTCGTTTGATTAGATACCGCTACTGCAGAAACCCAAAAATTCTCTCGTGACGTGCGGAAAGACACCGCCACATGCGCGCGCCCCTTCCCCATCTGCTTGCTTTTCAGTTGCATTGTTTTTTTTTTTAATTTCAGTTATTCGTTATTTAATTGATTCGATGGGATGGAAGTATGGATTAAAATGGAAACACCAGCGCAAAACCCTAAATATTCTCTCTCCTTCTTCGTCATCGTCGACACGTTCGCCACCACATGAGCTGTCCTCTGGTGGAAACCTCTCGGCTCCTGTAACGTGTCCACTGCCGCCGTTCGCCTTCTGCAGTCGCTTGCCGCCGTTCGCCTTCTGCAGTCGCTTGCCGCCTTCACCATTTTTGCAAAATCCCAGCGCCAGCTACTGCACCAGTTTTCTTGACATGTTTGGATTATATGCGTTATATAACTTATATTGACTAAGACCCTAAATCATGTCGTGTTCGGTGTAGGGCAAATTCTGTAGGTGGTGCCATACGTATATTTATTTTATCTTTCACACGTTTATTAATTTTGAGTCTTCAAATTAAATAAATTTAAAAAAAATTAATGAATAAAATTTAACAAAGATGTGTGAAAAGTAAAAAAAAAAAAAAAAAAAAAAAAAAAAAAAAAAAAGTGTAAATAGGATAACCTATTCAATTACATGCGGTGTTCTAAACCTTTCGTAATGTTTTTTAACTTGCAATATTACATTATAATGTAGTACTTTCTTCAAGTGTTAACTAAGTTGCTTATAAGTTCTTCTCGTATGTATTTTAGTTGGCATGCTTGTTTTAATTAATTCTCAACATTATAGAGACACTTACAAGCGTCTACTCTATATATTGTCGATAAAACATGTAACAATAGTTTACAAATATCTCCAATATTGTTGTCTGTGGTACTGTTGTCATTCCTTCGATATGCAGTTGTAATACCCCGTAATTAAAAAAAAATGGTTATATATATATATGTGTGTGTGTGTGTGTGGGGATAATTATTTTTACGTAATGATCTTATAAGATTTATTTTATACAAGAACCTACTTTCGATAAGTAAAATCATTTTTGCTATAAATTATTTCAAAAACTAACTTGTAGTATTTCATGTTCATATGTAATTAGAGATATTTTTAGTTTGAATTGGAGAACGGGATTATGATGAGTTTGGCTTGATAATTTTACCAAATAAGAATGAGTTGGCAAGTTTGTAATCATTAGGAATCTAAGAGTTAAATGTTTGGTGATGATTCATCCCCTCCAAAATTGGAGAGGTGAGATTCATATTCCTTAGACTTTGAACATGGCTTTTGAGTATTTATCCACATGCATGGGAATGATTGCTTCCAATTACAAGATGTCCAAGTGTTGCAAAACAAAGTGAAACGTGTCCTTAAGGCTTAATGGAGGATTCCATTTCTTCATCCATAAAAGCAGAGGGAGGAGAGAAACAAGGGAAGAACAACACACACCACCAACAACAACACACGGGGAAAAAGAAACAAAACCTCCTCTTCTTCATAGACCACTCTTCCCACCATTCTTTTCTTTTACCTTATGTAAAGGCTCTATGCCATCTTCATTGTATTTTTTTTGTAAATCTTACATAGTGAAAACATAAATGCATATGCAACCCTAGTGGACGTAGCCAAATTGGTGAACCACTTAAATCTCTATGTTCCTTTGTCCAATTGCAATAATTTGAGTTGAGCAAACCATTTAAACACTAAGTTATTAAATAGAAACATAATGGAAAAGGAGGATCGACAAAAT